AATTCTACGGGGGAAATCAAGAAAGTGTGTAACTTGTACACACTTTCGTAGTAAATTTGCGCACACCACAGCAACTATATTACGCTCTAAAAAGTCCGAAATTTAAACAAACTATTCGTCGAATAATCGAGCATGTAATTTCGCGAATAATAAGGTAGGAAATCAGTAACCTACCTTTTAGGTAGGAAATCTACACAATTTTTTTTTAGAGTGTAGGAAGGAATAGCAGGGAATATGCCATCCTAAACTGGGGCTTTGTATGTACGTATGGAAGACCGAAATAACCCACTGCACTATGGGTAGTTGGATCAGTTTTTGTGCAAAAAGTTGTGTTTCGTCCTTGCTATTTTATAAAGGAATCCTCAAACCAATTAACTTTTTATCTTTTTTTATAAAAAACGAATAAATAAATAGTTTTTATTAATATTTAGAAAAAACTGCATTCAAACTTTTTTAGTAAAACTTTAATTAAAAAGTTGCCCATTTATATCCATCGACCGTCAACATAGAGTTTTTTGCGGGAAATCATATGCCAATCAATAAAAAAATCATGTTTTTTCAATAATCTACTTGTTACAACTAATTATTGCCACAGAAAAGGATCAAATTACCCATCGTGCACTGCTTCGGATAATAGTAAATAAAGTTAAGCCATAGAAACGTGACTAAGAAAAATAATAAGCAGAAAAATTATAGAAAGATTATTACACCTGATCCTCACTGTCGTAGCTATTCAGAATATAATAAAGCGAGAACACCTGGATCGGTTCTTTTTTTTTTGTTTTTTATTATTTATAGTTTTTTCATACACTTTATTTCTTCTCATGAGTTTTATTAAATCAAAAATTACAACAAAAGCAAATAGGTATCACCAAAAATATATATCAATAATAATATTTTTACCTTTGTGATAAAAGCTACACTGTCTCCTTAGTATCTGTAATGGTCGGGTTTAAATGGACCAGACTTCGGCACACCCAAATATTTGGATTGGTCACCGGATAATTTTGTCAATTTTACGCGAAATTTCTCCAAATGCAGGCTGGCCACTTCTTCGGCGAGCAAAATAATATGACGTCCAGTGGAGAGCGTAGAACGGTCCACTTGTGGCTTAACATTTATCTTCTCCTTGGCATTGGCATTAAGCTAAGCTACATCAATTTCACAATCGAAATGACCAATGTTGCAAACGATCGCATCGTCGGGCATTTGTAAGAAGTGGGCGCCAGTGATGATGTCCTTGCAGCCAGTGGTGGTTACAAAAATAGT